GTTGTTGACAGTTTTGAGTTTGTTGTCACTTTACTGTTCATATTTATTTTATTTTATTTGTTTATCTTTAGAGGGGAAGGGAAGGAGAGAGGGAGAGAAATATCAATGTATGGTTGCTTCTTGTGCATCCCCTGCTGGGAACTGGCCTGCAACTTAGGCATGTACCCTGACTGGGAATCGAACCGTGATCTTTTGGTTCCCAGGCCCATGCTCAATCCACTGAGCTACACCAGCCGGGGGCCGTACTGTTCATATTTTTTATCTTCTTTTTCTTAGTAAGTCCTTTTAACATTTCATATAAGAGCTTGGTAATGATGAACTCCTCTAACTTTAACTTATCTGGGAAACACTTTATCTGCCCTTCCATTCTAAATGAAAGCTTTGCTGGATAGAGTAATCTTGGATGTATGTCCTTGCCTTTCACAACTTTGCATACTTCTTTCCAGCCCCTTCTTGCCTGCGAGGTTTCTTTTGAGAAAACAGCTGACAGTCTGATGGGAACTCCTTTGTAGGTAACTGTCGCCTTTTCTCTTACTGCTTTTAAGATTCTCTCCTCCTCTTTAATGTTGAGTAATGTAATCATGATGTGCTTTGATGTTTTCCTCCTTGGATCCAACTTCTTTGGGACACTCTGGGATTCCTGGACTTCCTAGTAGTCTATTTCTTTCACCAGATTGGGGAAGTTCTCCTTCATTATTTGTTCAAATAAGTTTTCAACTTATTGCTCTTCCTCTTCTCTTCTGGTACCCCCATGATTTGGGTGTTGGAACATTTAAACTTGTCCCAGAGGTTCCTAAGCCTCTCTTCATTTTTTTCAATTCTAGTTTTTTCATTCTGTTCTTGTTGAATGTTATTTCTTCCTTCTGCTCCATATCGTTGATTTGAGTCCGGTTTCCTTCCCTTCACTGTTGGTTCTTTGTATATTTTTCTTTGTTTCACTTGTCATAGCCTTCACTTTTTCCTTTATTTTGTGACTACACTCAACTGTTTCTGTGCGCATCCTGATTATCAGTGTTTTTGAACTTTGTATCTAATACGTTGGTTATCTCTTCATCACTTAGTTGTTTTTCTGGAGTTCTGATATGTTCTTTCATTTGGGCCACATTTCTTTGTCTTGGTGCAGCATACATGGGGCAGAGCCTTAGGTGTTTACCAGGCCAGGGCAACCCACTTGTCTGTGTTGTGGCTCTTTATGTGGAGGAGGGGTCCAAGAGGGAACAATGCCGCTTGCTCGCCTCCCAGCTGGCTTTCAGTCACTTCCCATGCTACCTACAAGCAAATTGGGCCCTTCTGGTGCTGATTTTCAGGTGGGTGGGTTTGTGTACATTCGAGGACCCTGTGGTTCTGTTCTACAAACTCTCTTTTGATGCGGGGAATTTATCCCACTGCTGCAACTCCCACAGTTTCTTTTTTTTTTTTTACAGCCAGAGGTTTCGAGTCTTTCTTTTCCTGCATTAGAACCCTGGGTTGCACAGTCTGTCTCACTCCCCAGTTTTTCCTCTCAGTTTAGCTACATGTGAATGTTGGACTGCTAGCCACCACCTTGCCTGCCCAGTCCTCCAGCTGCCACTTTGCTGCTCGTCCTGTTTGTCCTGGCTCCCTGTCTCTGCCCCTCTTAACAGTCTGGAGAAATGTTTCTTTTTTAACTCCTTGTTTGTCAGATTGTGGTACAGTTCAATTTTCTGGCAGTTCTGCTTGGTTTTTGTTTTTAAATTTGTTGTCATTCTTCTTTTGGTTGTATGAGGAGGCAAAGTGTATCTACGTATGCCTCCATCTTGGCCAGAAGGCTATTAATTTATTTTTAGAGAGAGGTGAAGGGAAGGAGAAAGGGAAGGAGAGAAATATCAATGGGTGATAATGCCCAACCATCTATGCCACACTGATAAGAGATTGATACAGTACATTTTTATGGTAACATTGTATGATGATTTTATAAATGCCTATTATATTAATGCTCCAGTTCAGCACATTTTAAAGATTTTCAAAGATCAGGACAATTTAATATGCTTGAATGCCTTTCCTACTATTTATGGCTATATCTAGGAATAGACTTCTTATCGCTTTCCTACCTTACTTTTAGGACCCAACTTAAGGGTGGACTCCTTAGGGTAACCTTTTTGATCCTTTTCTTCTCTTCAGTCCATGAAAGTCCTTCCTGTCATTCTGGCTTTCCTTCGGGGCTTCTGACATCCTATCCCTACACTTACCAGATGTAAATAGAATTGCCCCTTGTCCTACAAGGAACTCCTTGGCATCTGGTTTATTCTGTGCCCAGAAGTTAGAGGAAATGCAGGACAGTATCTGTTTGTTGTATGAATAAGTGGTTTGATTGAGTAACGAGTTCTTCCATATCACTCATTCCTGCTACTCCCACTGCTATCTCCATCATAATTCTTTTAGGGGATAGGGGATATACACAGTCACATATCCTAGTGTCAAAAGCAAGACAACAGTCCCCAAATGGAGTCACTTATGCTTTACTCCACACCACCAAACCAAGACAATTACAATTTTGGCTGGTCCCAAATGGAATGTTAGATCAGTCAATCAGCCACTAGCAAGGTAATCTGCACCATAGACCCCTATTATCCTCTAAAGGAAAGTGACTTTGTCTTTACTAATCTGATTTTCTGCCTGTTATAATTTTCTTGTTCTTGCTTTCTTCTGCCTATAAAATCTTTGATTTTCCACAGCTAATTGAAGCTCCTTTCTGTCTGCTAGATAGGGTGCTGCCCAATTAATGAATCATTGAATAAAGTCAGAAAGATCTTTAAAATTTATTTAAATTTGTTATTTAATAGTAGCCTGCAGTAAAATTGTTGCTTTCCCAAATCTTTTCTTGTTTCCTCCAAGTGTGTGATAATCCCTGCCTTTCAGGAATTGGGAAAAGGAAAACTAAACTCTTGACACCCGGGGAGTTGTATGGTTCTGGTATTTATTAACAACACCCAGTGGTTTCCAAGTCTCATCTAAACAAATGAAAAAATAGGAAGAATCCCTAAGCAATGTGTGATGTTAAGCAATGGACAAGGAGGTGAATATTGTAACTGGTAACAAATGGAAATACATTTAATGCAAAATAACATATGTCAGTAACCTGCTTTTTAAAAAACAAAGACCCTTTCCCTCTTAGTGATTATAAAAGTAAAATACAGATATTTGAAGGAAACAGTCATTCATAATCCCACCATTTTATTTCCTTAGCTATTTATTATGTATACATACACATTCCAGCAGAAGTAAGGCCTGTTTCAGAGTGATTGGTAGGGTAATAATAATATGGGTGGTGATAATAATATGGGTGTTATAGTTTTAATTTGAACATTTCACCTGAAACATCATATGGTGTGCTTGAGCGTGATATTGTTATGTTACAGAATTACATGCTTATGATTTTGTATTAAAAGATTTTATAATGAAAAAGGGGCATTAAATTGTGACAGCATGGATGGAACTGGAGAGTATTATGCTAAGTGAAATAAAGCCCAGCAGTGAAAGAAAAATACCATATGATCTTACCTTTGAGTGGAACCTAATGAACAAAATGGACAAATGAGCAAAATAGAACTGGAGGCATGTAAACAAGGAACAGGCTGACAGTAACCAGAAGGGAAAGGGGAGGGTGATGTGGGAGGAAAGAGGGGGAAAGGCCTAGTTAAAGAACAAGTGTAAATGACCCATGGACATGGACAACAGGGTGGGGATTGGTTGTCGTGGCAGGGGGATGGGCATGGCAGGGGAGAGCAAAGGGGGAAAATTGGGACAACTGTAGTAGAATAACAATATAAAAAGGGGGTCGTTATTTGGGCTGGACTCTGTATTTACAGTTCTTGATATTCATATCCCACTATAATGAGATTATAAGCATTTTTGATGTCATTATTAAAACTTTGTATTGTATACTCTGTAATGTCTGTGTGATATTCTGTTGGATGATGTACTACTGTTCTCTGGTGTTGGACACTTACGTTGCTCCCTCTTTTTTTTTTTTCTATCTTCAATATTACTTCAGTAACAGGTTTGTTACTGACAGTTCTTTTCCACATTTCTCAGACTATTCTTAGGATAGATTTTAGAAGAAGGATTAGGGTCAAAAGTAATAAATATTTTAAAGATTATTTTATTTTTTTAAATTATAGTTTACATTATACATTATTTTATATTAGTTTCCAAATTAAGACTCTTGATTCATATTGCTACACTACTTTCCAAGTTAGAAGAAACCTTGCTAGAAGTTTTATTCTCAATTTCATATAAATTCCGTCATCCAGTGTGCTCTTTTGTGCCTGATTTAACAACACTTGAAACCTTGATATTCATCCAGGTTTTTGTGTTCATCAGGAATTATTTCCTATTGCTATACTGGTCATTGTATAACCACACCACAGTTTATTTACCATCAAGTACTGATGGACATCTGGATTATCATTGTTTGGTTGTATGAATAAAGCTGGTATGAATATTCTTGTACAAGCCTTTGGTGGGTATATTCTTCTGGTAGTATAATTGCTGTGTAAAAAACACACACTTAAGTTTTCCAAAGTGGTTATACCATAGGGCTTACTTAGTTCTTGGGCTCTAGACACTAACATAGAAATACTATTCACATAGGGTAGCTGCATTCTTCACTCTTGTCTTGCATTCATTTACATTCTCAGGTGTGAGCCACCATTTTAAAAGACTTTGCAAGGTCAAATGCCTTGTCCACAATTAGACTCTCTCGTTAGTTTGGCATATAACCTAATACAGAACAAAATTCTCAATTAATATTTGCTTCAGGGTTGGCTCACAATACGAAGACAGTCAATACAGCCAAACTCGCTGCCTTCTCTCCTCCTCTAAAAGCAGAGCCAACCTTCTCCAAGAGGCAACAAAGGATACACTCTGATTGGCTGCGTAGGGTTCTGACAAGGTCCGGTCTCTCATCTATGCACATGCGCAGATTGAGCCCTACTGAACCCGGTGGCCCAGGCGCGCTTACGTAGAGCGTGCGCGTTGACGCATGAGCGTGCGCTCGGTAGTACCCAGGGGAACATGGCGGCTGCTCCTTTGGACGAGAGGGATTGAGAGGTGCGGAGGTAGGAGGTCGACAGGAGGGACACACCCGGCAGTGAACCGGAGCACTTCGCTCTTCATTCACTAAGAGCTCTGCTCCGTGCCAGAAGGTGAGTGCGGCGGTGCTACAGGACATCTCGCCGGCAGCAGGCGAGGGCACTTTCCGCCATTTTCAAGTTCGGCCGTTGCGTGCTTTGGAGGCCTGGCGGGGAGCTTGGGAACAGGTAGGAAGAGGAGGGGAAAGCGACGTCGGGAGGATTGTTTAAGGAAGGTTGGAGCCTTTGGGGAGGTGGTTGGCGGCTTGTTGTAGGCCAGGAAAACAAGGCATGATAGGACTTCGGCCCTCACTGGCGACTGGTGGCGACTAGACGTAGGCCGCGGATAGGAGGTGAAGTTTGGAGGAGGGAAGCGGGTTAAACTGAGATTTGGGGCGGTAGTGCAGGGGGTTGTGCTTAGGGTTGAACAGAGTGTGGCTGTGTATGATTGGTTTAAGCCTTACACTTTAAGGAGTCACGGGAAGTTAATGCAAAAATCTCAGAGAGCAGAAGGTTTAACCTCGATATTATCGTGGTTTGTAATCGCTGTTAGTAACAAGAATAAGTACACAGCTTGACAAGTAAGATCCCTGCTCTTTTGGAGTAGTTATATTATTATTTTGTTTCTCTTAAATCATGTTCCCTGCAAGAGTCCCATTAATAACTCCCTCCACAGTTCCGATTTTAGGTCGCCTCTGGCAAATAGTTATTTAGGCTCTTAGAAAGCATTCTTTAAAAAAAAAAAAAGGAAAAAATGTTGATACATGGTTGTAACCCATGCGGATGGTGGCCCATCCGGAGAAAGAAGTAGGCAGGTCAATAGGGAATTCCATAATTGATATGTGTAAATCAAATCAGAAAGGTAGGATTACTTGTAGAAAGCCTATTAAAAATGTTTGGGAGTAATTTTTGCACAGAAAAAAAAAACCTTAGGAACTCTGAAAGACATTAGAGTGAACAAAAGCCTATGTTAAAAGGAATACCTCTTGTGAGCACTGAGTCAACTAATGCACAATTTATTTTTTGCCTGTTAATGTGCAGTGGTAGATCTATTTAATTCAAACAAAGCTTTTAGGTGAAACCGGTTGTTTCCCTAGTAGCATTCTGTCTGCCCCCCCCCCCGTCTTACTTGCACTTAACACTGATCTTTTATCATACTTTATCGCTTTTTAATTGGACTGCTTGCCTAGAAGGTAAAGATACTGTATGGATTTGCATTTTGTACTGAGGCTTGAAGTTCTGTATTTAGCCTATTTTCTTGGAAAAATTTATTTTTGCATTCTTGTGGGAAGGATTTTGGTAGAAAGTTGGATTTACATCACACTGCTTTAGGAAAAAATAAATCCTTATTTATGATGTTGTTGGCTTACCTTGCATTCTTTGGCAGAAATTATTAAAAGGACAGATTTTGCCATTGCAATTTTAACTTGCTCTAAGGCTTTAATTACACTTAAACATTTTTTAAAAAGATTTTTATTTATTTTCAGAGAGAGGGGGAAGGGGGGAGAAAGAGGGAGAGAAACATCAATGTGTAGTTGTTTCTTGAGTGCCCACTACTGGGAACATGGTCCACAAACCAGGCATGTTCCCTGACTGGGAATCAAACAGGCGACCCTTTGGTTTGTGCGTTGGCACTCAATCCACTGAGCCACACCGTACAGGGCTAATTACACTTCTTAAAGCCACTTCGGGTGCTTTTTTGAACTCTCTTTGCTAAGTATTAATAATAAGTACATACACTTTTTCACATTACTTTGGGAAAAACATGTCGCCTATTGCTGAAGTTTGAACTGTTTCATATTTAAGAATAAGAAAACAAGATTACAGTAAAGCTTTATAACTACTACAAATACGTTGACCAAGGTATTAATGAAAGCTATTTTCTTACCAGGGTATTCTCATAATTCTTTTGAGGTCACTTAGGAAAAGATTAAGACTTAGTGTTTTTAAAGTAGTATTAATAAGTTGGAACCTGCAGATTAGAAATCTTCATTATCAAAGTATTTAATTAAATACTTTGTCAGAAACTTACCAGTTGTTTAAGCATTACAGATTTGTTGTTTAAGATTCCAAAGTGTCCTAGTTTTCTGCCAAACATTATTCCAGGATTTTGTGTTGAAACTTTTGCTTATAAAAGATGTTAATTTTTTTTCCTTTGCTGTGGTGAGTTTCTCTGTTGTTGTAATGTGTTTGACCAAGTAAGTCAACTGATTGGTTTTTTTTTTTTAAGATTTTTATTTTTTTGCTTTTAGAGAGAGGGGAAGGGAGGGAGAGAAAGAAGGAGAGAAACAGCAGTATGCAAGATACATCAATTAGTTTCCTCATGCATGCTGGCAGCTGGGGGCCTGGCCCACAACCCAGAAATGTGCCCTGACTGGGAATTGAACCAGAGACCCTTTGGCTTGCAGGTGGGCTCTCAGTCTACTGAGCCATACCACTCAGGGTTGATCATAGTTTTAATACTTAAAAGTATTTTGTCACGCGGGCCTGGGAACCAGACAATCACAGTTCGATTCCCAGTCAGGGCACATGCCCAGGTTGCAGGCAGGTTCCCTGCAGGCCAGTTCCCAGCAGGGGATGCACAAACACAACCATACATTAATGTTTCTCTCCCACTCTCCTTCCCTTCTCCTCTAAAGATAAATAAATAAAATCTTTAAAAAAAAAAAAGTATTTCGTCTTTTGTCTTTGACAGAGATACAGGTTCAAAACTTTGTGATGGAACACTCTCTCTTTTGTAACATTTCTTTTCCCCTTGCAAAGATTTACATTAGTCCTAGACACAATCCTTTAAGTATTTTGGAAAATTTTACCGAAATTTCTCTCATCTTTTCTGGACGATAAACATTTTAATATTTTCTGGTAGAGTGACTAACTTCATAATGTTTGTGTTGTACCTTATATTCATAATTTGAGGGGTTATGAATTTCCAGGTCTGGGTAGTGTCGGAAAGGGCATGAATTTCAGCAGCAGGCAAAACTGGGTTTGAATGCCAGGCTCACCACTACCCAGCTTTATTTATACTGGGTCAGTTAATTAAACTTCTTTTTTAAAAAATATATTTTATTGATTATGCCATTACAATTGTCTTATTCCCTCCCTTCATTCCCCTTCACACGACTCCCCCACCATTCACCCCCCGTTTCGTTTATGTTCATGTGTCACAAGTTCTATAGATTCTATATTTCCCATACTATTCTTACCCTGCCCCCTGTCTGTTTTCTACCTACCGTCTATGCTACTTATTCTCTGTACCTTCTCCTCCCTTCTCCTCTTCCCACTCCCCTGTTGCTAACCTTCCATGTGATTTCCATTTCTGTGGTTCTGCTCCTGATCTAGCTGTCCTCTTAGTTTGCTTTTGTTTTAGGTGTGGTTGTTAATAACTGTGAGTTTGCTGTCCTTTCACTGTTCATATTTTTGATCATCTTTTTCTTTTTTTATTTATTTTTATATTTTTAAATTAAAAAAATTTTTTATTGATTATGCTGTTACAGTTGTTCTATTCCCCCCTTCATTCCCCTCCACCCTACCCCCCTCCCCCACCATTCCCCCCTTTAGTTTATGAGCACGTGTCTCAAGTCCTTTAGATTCTGTATTTCCCATGCTATTCTTGCCCCCCCCATCCATTCTCTATCTACTGTTTATGCTACTTATTTTCTGTACCTTCTCCCCCCTTCTCCTCCTCCCACTCCCCTCTTGCTAACCCTCCTTGAGATCTTCATTTCTATGTTTCCACTCCTGATCTAGCTGTCCTTTTAGTTTGCTTTTTTTTTAGGCGTGGTTGTTAATAACTGTGAGTTTGTTGTCCTTTCACTGTTCATGTTTCTTTAACTTCTTTTTCTTCGATAAGTCCCTTTAACATTTCATATAATAAGGGCTTGGTGATGATGAACTCCTTGAATTTGATCTTATCTGAGAAGCACTTTATCTGTCCTTCCATTCTAAATGATAGCTTTGCTGGATAGAGCAATCTTGGTTGTAGGTCTTTGGATTTCATGACTTGGAATACCTCTTTCCAGCCCCTTCTTGCCTGTAAGGTCTCTTTTGAGAAATCAGCTGACAGTCTGATGGGAACTCCTTTGTAGGTGACTGTCCCCTTATCTCTTGCTGCTTCTAGGATTCTCTCCTTCATTTTAACATTGGCTAATGTAATTATGATGTGCCTTGGTGTGTTTCTTCTTGGGTCCAACTTCTTTGGGAGACTCTGAGCTTCCTGGACTTCCTGGAAGTCTATTTCCCTTGCCAGATTGGGGAAGTTCTTCTTTATTATTTGTTCAAATAAGTTTTCTACTTGTTGCTCCTCCTCTTCCCCTTCTGGTACCTCTATAATTTGAATGTTGGAACATCTAAAGATGTCCTGGAGGTTCCTAAGCCTCTCCTCATTTTTCTGAATTCTTGTTTCTTCATTCTTTTCTGATTGGATGTTTCTTCCTTCCATGATTTGAGTCCCAATTTCCTTTCCATCACTATTGGTTTCCTGTGTATTTCCCTTCATTTCAATTAGTTTAGCCATCATCTGTTCCTCTAATTTGTGACCAAAATCAACCAGTTCTGTGAGCATCCTGATCACCAGTGTTTTGAACTGTGCATCTGATAGGTTGGCTATCTCTTGGTAGCTTAGAATTATAGGCTCTGGGGCTTTGAGCTGTTTCTTGAGCCATAATGTTTTGGTCTGTTCGCACCTGTTATGTATGAGGGGCAGAGCCTTAGGTGTTCACCAGGGTGGGGTGACCCAGTTGCTGGGTTGTGACACTGCATGTGGGGGCAGGGTCAGAGAGGGGGCAGTGGCGTTTGTTCTGCTCTCTCTCGGATTTCGGTCCCCTCTGCTGCTTCCTACAAGCAAACTGGGCCCTTCTGGTGGCGGCTCCCGGGTGTGTGGGCCTGTGCACCCTCCAGGACCCTGTGGGTCTCTCCAACAAACTCTGTGAGTCTGGGAGCCTCTCCTGGCACCTCGACCCCGAAAGTTTCCAATTGGTGCTTTCAGGCTCTAATTCCCGTTGCTGGGGCCCTAGTCTGAGCGGTCTGTCTCACTGTTTGCTCCTTTGCCTGGTTTATCTGCGCGGGAATGTGTGATT